CAAGGAGCGCGCGGCGCCCAGCGCCTCCCGAGAGGAGCTGGATGAGGAGCCCAGCACCTTGACGCGGCTGCCGGTGAGACCCCGGGGCTCGGGCGGGGCGCCCCGCCCCCGGCACTGGGGAACCCGGGGACCATCCGCGGCCCGCGGTGTCTGCCCGGCTCCCGTGCTGTGGTGGCTGCGTCCTCACCCGGGAGCCACAGTTGGTAGCAACGCCCCGGCGGTGATCTCTGCCCCGCAGCGGGGCCGAAGGTCGCAGGGAGACACCTCGGGGAGCGCCCGGGTCGCCGGCCCGGCCCCCCGCAGGGTGTCACCCCAGACAGGCTGGGCCGGGGACGCCCTGACCGTCCGGCTAAGGAGATCAGGAGACCGTCCCAGACTCTGGTCAGCTGGGAAAAGCTTCCAGCGTCTGTGTCCTCAGCATCAGCCCAGGCGCACTGTCCCCACGCGCCGGGGTCAGCCGCCCCTCCCGGAGGGTGTCGCGGCCGTGGTCCCAGCGCGCACCGCCCGCGACAACGCCGACACGCAGCTGGAGACACGGGGCCGAGCTGTCAGCGCCTCGGGTCCCACGCCGCAGGCACACGGCACTTACTGGTAAACCTGTCGGGCCGACGGAGACGTTCCCAGAAGTTACTTACACTCCTCATCTCACCCGGGCTGTTGACACCTCGCCCCGGCCCGCCCCGCGCAGAGGCGCAGCGAAACAGTTCCGTGGGTTTTACAGAGGAGCTCAGATGACACATTTACTCTTCGATGTGATCTAATGATAAAATCAGAAGTTGGCTTGGGAATATCCATGAAAAGAAATGAAAGGAACTGGTTACTTTGCTTGAGAAGTACTAGAACAGTGGAGGGTTTTTCAGGAATGTTTCAATGCATCCGACATTCAGCGCTGTTAGGATGCTCTCCCGGTGGCAGGAGAGTGGCTTCAGAGTGATGGACTTAACTGGAAACAGTGACTGTTCCGTGGGCCTTTGGTTATCTAGTATAACAGCTCTTTGTTGATATTGTGGTTTATCCTCATAGATTTAATTAAGACACTGTTCAGTTGACCTTTGGTTTCCTAGTATGATGATAATAATTTTTATAACTTATTGCCAGAAAACAGTTTTCCAAGATAAATTATTCACCCCTTTTACCCACGTGCTGCTTTCCTGTGTTTCAGATCGACGTGCAACTCTATATTTTGTCATTTCTTTCGCCTCACGATCTGTGTCAGTTGGGAAGTACAAGTCACTATTGGAATGAAACTGTACGAGATCCGATTCTGTGGAGGTATTTTCTGCTGCGGGATCTTCCTTCTTGGTCTTCTGTGGACTGGAAATCTCTTCCAGATCTAGACATCTTAAAAAAGCCTGTATCTCAAGTCACTGACGGTGCATTTTTTGACTACATGGCAGTGTAAGTATCTACTTTTATGAATTAAAGAGAAGATACTAAATTTGACTGCATTACAAGTCAGTAGTCCTACTGATTTGTTCCATAGATTTTGGGGTCTAAGTGTCCTTTTATGAAAATTGGGGGTTAAGTTAAATGACTTCCTTCATGTAGTTATTTCCCTGTGAGGAATCAATATACGTAGTTCATATGACAAGATTCAATAGTAAATACTTTCCGTATCCCGAAAAGCAGTGGCCAGAGAGCAGAGAGCAGTTCTTTGGCAGGGAGAAAACCATTCTCAAGGTTTTGGGAAATAAGATTTTCTTACTACCCCAAAACATTGGCATTTTCAAATATATTGTATGTGAAAGAATTAATGTTATTGAGCACCTGGGTCTTTGAGGGTTGCTTTATGTATATTTACTTATTTAGTCCTCACTGAATTGTATTTTTGTTGTGGAGGTGGGACTGAGGTTCATCGTGGTTATGGATTTGCCTAAGGCCATACCGTTCATAAGGGACTGTTCAGATTGGAGCCCCATCGTGCTACCTTAAAAATAGATGTCCCAAATTTAAGGCATTGGAAATAAAATTAAAAGAATATTTGTACTTTAGTTAAGAATTGTTTTTTGTGTGCTAGATTTACTAGCTACATGCAGGATTTTTTCCATGTTTTATTTAAATTATTCAGAATCTTTTCTTATTCCAATCCAGATGCCATTACATCATTTTGTGAGACTGCTTGATTAAAATGCATATGATATGTTGTTACATATAATTTCATCAAGTGCTACTGTACTCTCACTTGCTGGGCTTTCCTCTACATTGTCCCACAACCTACCCAAGTGTATCTGATGCTGTGGAACCAAATTTCCCCAGGGAGAGTAATAATCATAGTAACTATCTTTTGTGATCAAATAAAATGATTTCTGATCTTTACTACCCTGAGTGGATTGTTGTTGCTCAAATAATGAAGTTGGAAAAACAAGTTCAGACTGTAAGTGGCTATATAACTAATTAAAGTGGTGAGGCTTGGCCTGATCTACCTAGCTTCAAATTTGACTTTTTTCCTTCTTGAATTACAGTTTCCTAAATAAAGATGATTATCTTTAGGTTAGTAATTGTCTTAACCAGCTTGATTTAGTTGAAATGCTTTAGGTTTTTATTTGAATTTGAGTAACCTTTGTTTTAATTTTTGATAACATGTAGAATTGCTAGTTTAGACGTTTATAGCTAATGTAAGAAACTAAGTTGTTTCTTTTCTATGATTCTTAGTTTGCTAGGTCATCTGTAAGGAATATTTGAGCCTCCCTATATGTTTAACACTTATTGAACTATTACATTTGAGACTTAATAAGAGTACTTAAGAAACTTGGTTCTATATTTTTTTAACCTATAGGAACATTTATCCTAACTCTCTGTGTAGTGTATCTTTAGTGCAGTGTTTCTCAATCCTGGCACTATTGACATTTTGGACCAATGTTTTGGGAACTGCCGGTGTTTTGAGGCATCCCTGGCCTCCACCCGCTAGATGCCAGTAGCATCACCCCACTTCCCCCTGTTGTGATGACAAACGTTGCCAGATGTTGCCAGATGGTCCCTGGAGCTCCGGGGTTGAGGAGCATAATCTCACCCTGGTTGAGAATCACTGCTCTATGTAGTGAATTTTAACCGACACAAGTGTTAGGCCCAGTGTTCCATGAGAGACGCTAAGTGAAAGATTAGAAGATAAGTAACCCCTTCCTGGGGACACTCTCAGTTTCTAGACCACTGGAACTCCCATAGTGCCTCCTGCTTTTTCCCATCTTGGCACTTGGCATCCAGATTATAATGCTGTCTGTCCCCTTCTGCCCTCCATGAGAATTGGAACTATATAGTCATTATATCCCTTGTATCTAACAAGTTCTCAATAAATTATACATTGAATGACTAACTGGCTAAGTTTTTTTGTGTTAATTTTCTAATTGTGACAATTTTATACAGCTATAAAATGTGCTGTCCACATACAAGAAGATCCTCGAAATCTAGCCGTCCTATGTATGGAGCAGTGACCTCATTTTTACACTCATTGATTATTCAGAATGAACCACGGTTTGCTATGTTTGGACCAGGTTTAGAAGAACTGAATACATCGCTGGTGTTGAGCTTGATGTCTTCTGAGGAACTTTGCCCAACAGCTGGTTTGCCTCACAGGCAAATTGACGGTAATTTTCATGCTGCTCTATAGTACATAATAATTTAACACTTAGAGTTTGACACTGATATTAAATAGAAAGAAAATTTTTAATTATTTGATGTAATGAAATACAGCAATGATTTTCAACTGGTGTGCCGCAAGAAGTTTTAAAACATGCAATACCTGACTATTTAGTCTGGGGCACTGACCTCTTTTCCCTTAGGTTGTCAAATAAAAAAATGACAACAGCCAACACAACAATAGCTCTCCGGTATGAATGAATGAAAGTTATACCTATTTCTTTATCATATTGGCAAAAAATATATTTTTTGGTACGCCGCAGAATTTTAGTAATTAGTTTATGTGTTCCATGAAATGAAAAAGGTTGAAAAATCACTGAAATATAGTAATTTGGTTAATGGGAGCCCCCCAGGTGCCAATGGACTGAAAGAATTAATGTACTTTTTATAATAGGTAAGCTTCCTCTTATTTTCTCAAGTTTGTGTAATCCAGAATATAAGATTATGTGAAAGTAAATTATGTTACCAAGATGTTGTATTTGTACAGTATTTACTGTATTTTAAAAGAATGTTAACAGAAAAAACTATTGGCATCTGCTATATGCAAAGAAAGTACTTTCACGTACTATATATTGAAATTTCAAAAACGCTTAATTATCACCTTCCCCTTCTTCCTATGAAAACAAACAAACCAATAACCACCATGTAGTTAGTTGGTAAGCAGGATATATCATAAATATAAATAACAATATAATACAGCTTATTCATTTATTGAGAGCACCTATTAGGTGCTAGAGATGCAGAGATTTAAAACAGCATCAAAACTCTTTGTCCTGAAGATACGTGGTCTAGGTGAGGGGAGACATGTGTTCAGGTGATTTGAATATGGTGCAGTTATTTCCTGGGTAGAAAGTTAAGGGCCAAGGAAGGCTCCACACTGAGCAGGATGCCTCTCAGGTCATTAAGATGAGGAGGCAGCAATAAAAAAGACAGGATGAAAGTATTCTAAGCTGTGAGAACGACATTTCTGAAAGCACAAAGCTCTAGGTGCTGGCACCTTTGAAGCAGCTCTGTGTGTACAGTGGGGCTAGGTGAGAAGACACTTGTATGCCATGCTTAAGCATTTGGAAGCTCTTGAAGGGTTTTAAGCAAAGGAGTGAGATGGTTAAGGTTGCATTTAGAAATATCATTTTGGCTCATAAGTGGAAAATTAATTACAAGGGGCTATAAAGACATGGAGACCCATTAAGAAACCACTATAATATTGTGATAAAAACAAGAAGAATATAGAATTGACTGAATGTGTAGAGATTGATGCCTACCATAAGCAATCCACTTGAATAGAAGTTCCATTAGGGCAGAAATCTTGTCAGCTTTATTCCTAGCTGGATCTGAGGTATCAGGCACATAGTAGGCACTCAATATATATTTGATGCATGAATGAACAAATGACTTTGTGGATTACTTTATGCATCCAGATCTCAGGAGCAAATTCTGGGCTAAAAATAAAGATTTGGCAATCATGGAGTCCGTGTGGACTTCGAAGTTTCTGAGGATGGAGAGAGAGGAAGATTGTGAACCAGGTGCTGAAATCCTCAGTGAGTGTTTGGAGGAAGGGATTATTAAAAGGAAATTTATAAATGACAAGGTCAAGGAAGGAGAGATGGCACTTCAGCTGAATGCTGTGTGTGTCTCAGAGAGATGGAGTTTTTCAAGAGGGTTGATGAGTAATGGTTAAGATGACATCGGGAGTAAAAGAGCGTTGATCCCATCTCCTTAGCCTGAGACGTGAGAGAATAAACAACCGTGTTACCTGAGAGTCCCCTGCAAGAGAAGCAGCACCTGGGGTCAGGCTGGTTTCAGGTAAAGCCATGACGTAGCAGGAACGCTTCAAGAAGAGGTGGGGGATATGGGGAAATTTGCCAATTATGAAATGGCAATTTCATTCTCAAGACAGCGGCTGGAGTGATTGTTTGAAAATGCCTATGTAATTATGCCTCAAACCCTCCAAGATCAGGGAAGAAGAGAAGGGATGGGCCATTGGTGGGGTGGTGCAGAGCAGCATGGAGATCATGTTGGGCTAGTGTTAGATGTGTCGAAAGGGTAATCTCGAAGCTAAGTTGATGGAAAAAAGATCATAGTGGAGTTTATTTCTATGATCTGTGAGGGTGGGGGTTGTGCACCAGGCCTGGTGGCCAGAGGACTCAGGTCACTTGGCCTGGGATGCTTACAGTTCCAGCCATCAAGATCTCTGTATGTGGTGCCTGGAATGGTGACGTAAGATGGTGCAGCATGACTTATTTGGACAACTACATTGGTTATAAGGCAGGGGTTAAAGACATGAAAGATGGAGTTGTCCTAATGAGGTAACTAGAGACCAGATTATATTAATGTTTTGTTTGAAGAGCGGTGTTTTTGAAGGGAAAAGATATAATTCGGTATTTTTAAGGAATCTCTTCAGCGGCTGTCAGAAGAATGATAGTAGGAGGCAAAAGTGGATGTAGGACTTTAGAAGAAGTGAGTGCAGATGTCCAGGTGAGAGATGGTGGCAGTTTAGAGTAAAAGGTGGGAGTGCGGAGTAAACAGATCTAAGACTCATGTAGCGAAAAGAAGTAGAGCTGTGGGAGAGGAGAATGCCCTTCCCAAGCAGCAGGGGGAATCGGCCAGAGTGTTAACAGGCAAAAGAAGGAACAGATTTAGAAGGACAGACGACAATGTTGAATGGCTCAGGTATAAAGTAGCTTAGCACCTGCTGTTGACCTGTCACTCTAATGCTTTTGCATATGTAATCTCTCATGCTTACAATAATCCTAAAATGTGTTATTTCTACACTTCTATGACAAACCTGAGGCTCACAAAAATACGGTTATATATAGCAAAGTCAAGATTCTAAATCAACTCTAATTCCAAATTTCAGTATCTGCCATATTTTTTTCAATTTTCTAAGTTGCCATTGGTGAATCGCCATTATTTTAAAAAGCTTTTTGGAGGTAGGGGGAAGCCATTTCATTGAATGTATACATAGAGTGTAAGACAAATGAGAAACATAAAAATATGAAAATGAGTCTTAGTCTTGAGGATAAATAGTAGTGGCTGTTATGATGCAGCTGCTGCTGCTACGATGATAAAGTTAATGAGTGTGATGATATGAAAAGGAATGTTATAAGCCTACCAGTTCTTTGCTCTTTATCTATATTTTTATTACTAAGTGAATGAACATTGCAAGCAGCATCTTTTTTCCAACAAGAACATTTCATTTTAATTCAAAGCTATATATAACTTGTCATAGAATTTTTAAAATTCCAGTCTGATTTTTTGCTGTCTTTATTAATGACTTTTTTGATAACTGTAATTTTCTCCTTTAGGTATTGGATCAGGAGTTAGTTTTCAGTTGAGCAACCAGCATAAGTTCAACATCCTGATACTATATTCAACTACCAGGTAAGGCTTCCTACTTGGTGACTTACCTGAGACTTAGGACAGGAATACTTTAAGGGGATGCAGCCTGTTTAGTGTCTGTTTATGTCTTATGTTTACATTTTTTCTTATAGAAAAGAAAGAGATAGAGCAAGAGAAGAGCATACAAGTGCAGTTAACAAGATGTTCAGTCTCCAGAATGAAGGGGATGATCACCAGGGAAGCCGATACAGTGTAATTCCACAGATTCAGAAGGTGTGTGAAGTTGTTGATGGGTTCATCTATGTTGCAAATGCTGAAGCTCAGAAAAGTAAGCATTATCGTATTTTCTTTTTTAAAGCACTTGCTTTGCAAAACAAATAAAGCAATATGTTTTTAGGCTTTATTGTTGCTTCTTAAGAATATGATGCTTTTTTTAATCAATGTGATTCTATGACCATTAGTTAATAGTGGGTTCTCAAACCTTGATGTGTATTAGGATCACTTGGGAGCTTGTTAAAAACAACTGCCTGATTCCTTCCCTAGTGGATTATGATTCATAGATTTGGATTATGTCTTGGGTATCTGTTTTTGTTTTGTTTTTTTTAGGAAGCTACCAAAATTTGAAACTATAACTATATGATATTATTTTGTTGTTTGCTTCTGCATTTTTTGGAATTGGTATTTTTTGCTTCTGGCCCTATTAAAATAATTTATGCAGATAACTGAAAATTTTTACCTTTGTTTCAATTACCCAGAGACAGAGATGTGTGGTGTGGAATGTTTACTTTAATTAAGTAGATTAGTTGAGAACACTGTCCATATATTCTGAATAATTGCCATTCATAGGCAGAAATCAGAATATTTTCGGGCCAAAGTCAGTGTTGTAATTTCTTCCTCAAATCCCTGTGAACAAGGTAGGGCATAAATATATAATATATTATTCTCACTCAGAACAAGGTAGCAGCAGCCCATTGCTGAAGTAATTTAAAGTTTATGGTGCACTAAAATTAACTATAACAATAAAGGCCAAATCCAGTTTAACTACTGGCTAGTTGGACTTGACATATTGCATTAATGGCCTAACATAAGAAGCGTACCCATTTCCAGGAGTAAATCCTCTTTATCCCAGTCTCTGCTGTTCTACATAAAACATCTAGCATTAAATTAAAATTTTATAAGACACGCACACAAAATCAAAATGTCCCCCATCTCAGGAGCACTCCCAGCGCATTTCCGGTTTCCCTCCCCGCCCCCCCATGGGTTACCTTTGCCTTTCCCTCTCCTAAGTTCCAAAGGCCCTTCTTTTGCTTCTGTAACTTGTTTCCTGAGCCTATGCAACCCATCTGGTTCATTTCTACTACCTTTGTAACTTTCTAAATAAACTTTCTCTGATAATTTGCGGGGGAAAAAAAAATGACTTACTGTCAAGAGATAAAGCCATCAATGGAACCAGACACAGAGATTGCCTGGATGTTGGCGCTCTCAGAAAGGGACATTGAAAGAACTACAATTAATATGTTAAAGGATTTAGTGGGAAAGGTGGACAGTGTATTTGTGAGCAGATAGGGATTTTCAGCAGAGAATGGGAAGCTATGAAAGAATACAATGGGAATGCTAAATATGGAAAACATGGTACAAGGCGAATAGTTCCTTCAGTGGACTTACCAGCAAAGGAAACCTTCCGCAAACCTAAAAACTCAGTTGAAATTATTCCAAATTAAAACACAAGAGGAAAAAGAGTAGGAGTAGGGGACAGAGCATCCAAGAGCTGGGGGAACCTGTCAGTGATCTAACTCAGGGGAGAGCTAACTTTTTCTTAAAAAGCCAGATACTTTAGGCCAAATATTTTAGGCATATGAGCCATATGATCTCTCACAGTTACTCAACTCTACTGTTACAGTGCAAAAGTAGCCATAGACAATTTGTAAATTAATGAGCATGGCTGTTTTCCAAAATAATTTTATTTATAAAGACAGATCCACAGAATGTAATATGCCAACCCCTCTTCTAACATATGTGTATAATGGGAGTACCAAAACATGAAGGGAGGAAGAACAGGGAAAAAGAAAAATTTGAAAAGCCGTCAATTATTTCAAAATTACTGAAAGACAACAATCCACAGATCCAAGATGCTCAGAGAACCCCAAACATGATAAATAAAAAATACATTTAGATATATCGTAGCCAAATTGATGAAAGCTAAAGGTAAACAGTATCTTGAAGACAGTGAGAGCAAAAGGAAAGATAGATACAGGGGGCCAACGATGAGGACAGAGACTCCTTGACAGAATTGCTGCAAGGTAGACAGCAGTGAAGGGAAAGCTGTATAGTATTGCAAAGGGGAGGATACCTTATATCCAGCAAAGAAATGCTTTAAAAATGAAAGCAAAATCAAGACTTTCCCAGATAGACAAAACCTGTGAAAATTCATTATCAGCAGATTTGCACTAGAAAAAATATTAAAGGAATCTCTTTAGGCAGAAGAATATACCAGATGGAAAATTGCATCCACAAAAAAAATTTGTGAGAGGAAACTATATCAAAGTATTTTTCTTCTAAACTATAGATACATCTGAGTGGCACTGACTTTTCCCTTCTGATTTCACCTAAATACCTGCCCTTGAAGGCTGCTTCATGTAACTTTATGATATATTAATAAATGAACAGAGTGATAGAGGCAGTTTGTTATGTTTGGACCCTGGTAATTTTTTTGTTTTGCTAGTTTTTAATTTAATTTTATTATTATTATTATTTTTAAATATATTTATTGATTTCAGAGAGAGGAAAGGAGAGGGATAGAGACATAGAAACATCAGTGATGAGAGAGTCATTGATCGGCTGCCTCCTGCACACCCCCGACTGGGGATCGAGCCCGCAACCCGGGCATGTGTCCTGACCGGGAATTGAACCCCGATCGCCTGGATCCTAGGTCTACGTTCAACTGCTGAGCCACGCCTGGCTGGGCTATTTTATTATTTTTGAAATCATTGCAAGTAATGCAAGTAAAGAGTTTGGACTTTATTCCTTAGGACATGAATGGCAGGATGAATTTTCTCGTATCATGGCAATGACAGATCCAGCTTTTGGATCTTCAGGAAGACCGATGCTGGTTTTATCTTGTATTTCTCAAGCAAACGTGAAAAGAATGCCCTGTTTTTATTTGGCACATGAGCTGCGTCTGAATCATCTAAACCACCCGTGGATGGTAAGGTTCTATCTTCTCTGGTGAGAAACATCTTATTTCTCACTGTTTTTTATTTGATTTTATTCTTTCCTACTCATTCTCATTAATGAAATAGAACAATATTCCAAAGTCAGTTTTAATAGCTTAATTGATGGGAGATATTTTGGTTGGTGTCCGTGAGTCTCAGCTGATCCTTTGCTCCCTACTCGCCTCTCTCGTGGATACAGTGAAGTAGTAATTGAGGATTGCTTTTTCTTAGATGCCGCTGACATGGCCTTTTCAGCAGCAGTGTATTGTGCTTTAAGGGCCATCAAAAGGATAGATTCCATCTTACAGTTTCTTGCTCTGCAACCTTTATTTTAATCATGGAATCTTTTCATCAAATGAAACCTTACCTGAAAGCCCCTGAGTGAAATAAAGGAAAATTAATATTGGAAGTGTTTTTGCTGAAGAAGTTGGAGGGTTTTTTCTTCCCTTCCCCCTCTTCCTTACAAGGAGCCCTGGGAACTGGAACACAATTTGAAAGCTACTGCTAAAGGCACACCATCCTGAGCGGTGGGAAGGGGTGGGAATTTTGTGCCATCTTAAGGACACATTTTTGCAATAAGACATTACACTTACCATTTGACTAGCTGGGTTTGTTCAAGAATGTTTTATTTTTCAAAGTGGATCTTTTGGAGGAATTTTTTTTCTAATACATGCAAACAAGTCATGGAAATGGTAGATCTCCCATCCCTAAGGATAAGTAATAAGCCTCATATTGGTAATATGATAAGATATAAGAGATCATATTTTTATCTGAGCTCTCTAGAAGACAAAACTTGAGTGACTCATCCAAAGTTTATTGGGATTTTTTAGTCCCTTTTGTGTATGTGTGTGTGTATCTAGAAAAATGTCCCAAATGTTGGACTTGGTTTCCTACTGATGATGGTCTCTCTCATCTGATCCTAGGTCCAAGATACTGAGGCTGAGACGCTGACGGGCTTTATGAACGGCATTCAGTGGATTCTTGAAGAAGTGGAATCCAAGCATGCAAGATGACCCCTCTTCCAGACCCTGGGAACTGAGACCATATGAAACTTGCAACTGAGGTCACAATGTGAATGTTTGCTCAGTCCGCTCACTTTGTCCTGCCCTTTTGCAGGTGGCCTTTATACTGGACAGCTGTAGCTGCTGTGTGTTTAATATTACTTTTGCTTTTTACCTTAAATCAATTACAAGAAAAAGTTTCAGTGCAAGCACTTAACCCCAAAATGAACCTTTGAAGATTTTTTTGGTAATTTTTGTATTTTCTGTCTTTTTAAAAATATTAAATTCTGGGAAAAACAAGTCTGTGCCTTTCTCATTCTTTGTGGTTTATGCTCTATTCAGTTCAAAGGTTGCCCTAGTGGGGAATAGCAAATTTGCTGAGCTTTCTACAAGGTTTCTATAGGTTCTTTTCAAGGGTCCGTAATGGGTTATCAGAAAAGAAGTTTTTGAAATAGAAATTTGGCAAAGGAACATTTAATGTTTCTATTTGTCATGAACAGCACTATTTTATACCAGAGTATGTGGAAGGTCCTCTTTTCTTTTTCTTTCTTTCTTTCTTTCTTTCTTTCTTTCTTTCTTTCTTTCTTTCTTTCTTTCTTTC